GGAAATGACACGTGATATTAAAAGTTACTCTTATGCATTAACTTTAAAAACAGGGAACTATCTGTTATTCTACATGCTCTATATACCTGAATCTAATCCATAATTTCGATATTTGGCTTGATTTCCCTAGTTTACTATATAACTTATTTGTTTTTTATTATTTTAATATGTTCAGTGTATATGGTTTATAGAAGTTCTCAGGGGTGTCCGTCAATAATATTCGTTTCTACAGTAATTTATATATAATTTCGAATCTAGGAAACAATTTTTCATGATTATTGGTCTTTAGGCCAAACATGTATGGAAGCTGAGCAATCTCCTTTACCACTTAATCATTATAGTATGCCATCACCTAATCGTCAAGCCACCGACTTAGTCAATACCGATTTACAACGAGAAAATCAATATGACTATGGAAGTTTAGCAACAATTATCATGAACAGTGAACCATTACTGACAGCAGAACAAAAAATTGTTTATGATCGGATTATGCTGGCTGTTGCTGCTGAACACGGCGGTTTTTTTTTTCTTGGATGCACCCGGTGGAACCGGTAAGACATTTTTAATATCGTTGATTCTTGCCAAAATACGCTCGCAACAAAAAATCGCATTAGCAGTAGCATCGTCAGGCATTGCGGCTACTTTACTGGATGGTGGGCGAACAGCACATTCAACATTCAAGCTGCCATTGGACGTTCATAATAAACCAGATGCAATGTGTAACATCAAAAAGAATAGTGGAATAGCTGCAGTGTTGCGGTAGAGTTCTATAATAATTTGGGATGAGTGCACAATGGCACACAAATATTCACTTAAAGCATTAAACAGAACTATGCAAGATTTAAACAGCAATAATAAACTTTTCGGTGGTGCTATCTTACTTTTGTCTGGTGACTTCCAGCAGACCTTACCGGTTATACCTAGCTCTACTTTCGCGGATGAGATTAATGCATGTTTGAAACAATCATTCTTATGGCAAAGTGTTGAAACACTTCGATTGACCATAAACATGCGAGTACAATTGCAAAATGATCCATCAGCACAAATATTTTCCGAACAACTACTAGATATTGGGAACGGTAAAATAGAACTGCAACCAAATACGCAATGCATTAAACTACCAGACAATTTTTGCACTGTTGTTCAGGATAAAAATGAATTGATTCAGAGTATTTTCCCGGATATACAGAATAATTATTTGAATCATGAATGGCTTAGTCAACGGGCGATTTTGGCAGCCAAAAACGTTGATGTTGACGAAATTAACTTCCAGATACAACAGTTGTTACCAGGCGATCTGATGTCTTTTAAATCAATCGATACTGTTGTTGATGAAAATGAAAGTGTAAATTTTCCGATTGATATTTTAAATTCATTAGATATCCCTGGAATGCCACCACATAATCTGCGATTAAAGATTGGTTCCCCTATTATTCTCCTCCGTAATTTGAACCCACCTCAATTATGTAACGGTACGCGTTTGGTCATCAAAAAGATCACCGGAAACATTCTTGAAGCAACCATTTTGGCTGGGAAGTTTAAAGGAAAAGTGGTCCTGCTGCCACGTATTCCGATGATACCATCAGATTCTACCATACCCTTCAAAAGGCTACAGTTTCCAATTCGTTTAGCTTTCGCCATGTCTATAAATAAATCTCAAGGTCAAACAATGTCCATTTGTGGTTTAGATTTGGAAAATCCATGTTTTTCTCATGGGCAACTATATGTTGCGTGTTCACGTGTTGGGAAACCGTCGAATTATTTGTGTTAGCTAAAGACAGGTTAACCAAAAACATTGTGCACCGATTGGTGTTAAATTAAATTGAAATTGAAAGTATTTATAATTCAAAAAAATAGATATTAATGTTTAAAAGTTTAACTGTCTGCCTTGCCTACCTCATTCATGAGTTTAAGCGTCACATGTTATTTACTGTAATATACTTATATTTGTTATAAAATTAAATGGAAATAATAAATCTGATAAATTTTTATTTTGTACCTATTGATTTCTGCTTAATATCAAGTGTAAGAACATTTTAATTAATTGTGTTCAACGTACTTCCCCTTCAAATCTCAATCCAGTGAATTTTTATATCAACATCAACATTTTCGTCTTTGTTCGTAAATAATTTCATTGTACTAAAGGGTTATAGTAGTAGAAAGTCAAATAAGGAGATCACCATATTTTTTTACAAATACCATCTGTGTGAAAAAGCATAGTGGACTCCGTGACTGATATTCTCTTATTGTTCCTCTTAGATTGTTTACTATAATGTAATATAACAAAAACTTTAGCCACAGCAACGCGTGGCCGGGTCAGCTAGTTATGACTATATAAAAAAGTAAAGGTTACATAATGAATAAACTTGTTTCAATTATTTTATATTAAACATGTGACAGAATTTATGACCTGACACCTAGTCAGGTCATAAATTCAGGTACCAGGTATTTAGGCTTTTGTTTCAGGGACGTAATGAAAAACTTTTTCAGTGAGATGAATAGTGAAGAATCTGAAGAATTGACTAACTTTTGCAGAATGTCTCGTACCGATTTTGTTAACCAAAATTGAAACTCTGATAAAGAAACAGACAAGACTAAGAATACCTATTTCACCAAAAATACGCTTAGCAATAAGTGAGGTTACAATGACAATCCAGACGTTGTTCAATTTCGTACCGCATATAAAAAGAACTTACAGTTTCTTCGACGACAGATGTAATAAATGCAGTCAATGATAGTACTCCCACATTTGAAAAAAATATAATGGATGTTCAAATTGAAATCATAGTCGAGTGTCAAAAGATAATCGCAGGCGATACTTTTACAGTGGGGTTTATGACGAGAATATGATGTGATTTATTCGGTTGTAGAGGAATGGGCCTAGAAACTGGAAGAAGTTTTGTGCAAAGGAAGTTTTCTGAGTAGGCAAAGGGCAGATATGAGTTTTGCGTCTCCTCTGTTCCAATTTGGGGTCATATGTTAACTGGTTGTGTTTTTGCAGTACGGTTTTCAGAATGAATAATTTTCGTACAATGAGAATGTTCCAGACTTTGTATAACTCTACAGGAGGATAGCGATATGGGAGTCCTGCAGCCACTTTAAGCAATATGCGCTGAGATCTCTCCACTGCTAGTAGGTGTGTTTTTGCGGCCCCACCCCAAGAGGTGATGCAGTATTCCAAAAGAGAATGACACAACGCATAATAAACGGTTTTAATAATTTTCCGCTCTGCAACACCTCTCAGATTTCTAAAAATATAAGTCATCTTTCGAAGTCTTGATGCTAGAAGATTGAGCAGGGTACTTGAATGTAAGAGTTTGGTCTAGCAATAATTCTAGATATTTTATGCAGTCGGTACGCTGAGGGACAAGGGCAAGAAATCATAGGAGACTGTGTGTTACACTCATGGACAGTGACGTTATGTACTGTTGTGGAAGTTGGTTAGATTTTAAGGCAAAAGTGACATATTTACTCTTGGTGACATTAGTGTCAGTGCATTTCATTTCAGCCACTTTGTTACTGCATTAAGGCCTTTCTGTGTTAGTTCAAATGAACTGTCTCAAGAGTTCCCTTGAAATAAAAGAGCAGTGTCATTAGCAAAAGAAAAGGTTCTGCCCCCCTGTGAGCCGAAGTTGACATAGCTCATTGATGTCAGCCAAAAATAGGGTAGGCCCGCGGATGCTACCCTGCGGCACACCATAAGTGATGTTAGACTCTTCACTTACCCAGTGTTCAATTTTAACCTTCTGTGTCCTATTAGAAAGGTAATCAGAAAACATCTTGAGCGGTAAGCCTCCGATTCCATAACCCTCCAGTCTGGAGAGTGACCGGGGAATGGAGACCGGGTCGAATGCCTTGGCTAGATCGAGGAAAAGTACCACACACTTCCTTCTCTCATCCAAGCTAGACACAATTGATTGCGTAAGATCATTAACAGCTTCAGTGTAGCATATAGAATTTTTAGCTCTTTACCCTGATATGATAATTCTGCCCTTTGCATATTTTTTTCATTAGGCTTCTCAAATAAACTTTTTATTTCCGAACGCAAAAAAATGCGGTGATGTTTCTGAACGCAACCGTTGACATAAACACAATGGTCAGGGGAATCCCGCTGGGATGGAACAAATATTTAAACTACCTTTTGTGTTTTAGTTCATCGGTTGGTACTTTTGTTCTGTTTTTTCAATTTCTGTGTGGTTCCTTAGTTACGTTAAATAAGTTTAATAGACTTGATTAAATTGACAATGCATCCAAAATATAAGCAACATTATCGTGCAAAGTGGGAATCAATGTCCGCTTTTAAAGAGTGACTTCAGCGTACAGTAAGTATTGCAAGTCGTAAATTGTGGCAAAATATTACTGTTTAAAACAGCGTGTTTCATCTTCGAAACACCTCAAAGCTATGGAACCAATGAGAAGTCAAAAAAAACTTGAGTACCTAAAAATTACAAAAACTCGATACTCAAAAAGCTGAAAGCGCCTTTGCTATGTTCATATTATGTGAACATTGTTCTATTTTGACCACTGATCATTTATCGCAAGTAAGTGACAGCCAAAGTGCTGACGATTTGCGACTGCACAGGACAAAGTGCACAAATATAATTAAGAACATATTGGCACCACATTTTTATAAAGAATTAGTAGACGATATTGTAGATCAAGAATATAGTATAAATAAATAAATAAATAAATATTTCCGACACTCACACCAAATAGCCTAGCCCCAAAGTAAGCACTGTAAGGCTTGTGTTATGAGATGCTAGGGTAACGGATAGAATACATATACTGTACATATATAAGTATATTTATATAGAAATACATATTAAACATCCATGACTGGAGTACAAATGCTCGTATTCATCACACAAACATCTGCCCCCACCGGGATTCGAACCCGGGACCTCTCGAGTCGGCGACACCATGAAACCCGGCGTAGAAACCACTCGTCCACGGAGGGAGTATATTGATTGACGAATCCACAGATGTCTCAGTAAGCAAATTATTGGGCGTGACAGTCAGATATTTCATAAGCTAAAATATCTGACTGTCACACCCAATAATTTGCGTTGAAGAAAGCGTTGAAGAAAATTGTTTCTACTTTTCTGGATTGGTCGAACTTGAAGATGGAACAGCCGACAGTATTGTGAAAGCCTCAAAGTTATTGCTTTCTGGTTTGAATTTGAATATAAAAAAAATATTGGCTTTGGTACGGATAACGCAGCTGTTATGACAGGAATGGTGTTCATCAATTGCTGAAAACTGAAATTGGCAAAGATAACTTAGTATTACGTTGTGTGTGTCATTCCTTACAATTAGCAATATCACATGCCTTCGAACAGACACTACCTAGAAATATAGATTTTTTAATACGTGAAACTTATAACTGGTTTAGTCATTCGTCGAAGCGGCAAATTTATTATAAAGAATTATATAACTATGAACTTTGTATCAGATCCCTTAAGATCCCTCGATTATGCTATACTAGATGGATATTCATCGAGCCAGCTGTGTGCCAGCAAAAATAACGATGTTGGTATAACTAAACTTTATGATGACCTTATTGGCTTAACGGAATCTATAAGTCGACGGATTCTGAATTGTACAGCCAGAGTTGACGTACTGACACAAAATATTGCCAGTTACGTAGATCCGTGGCTGTACATGGGTTACGCTTTTGAGACAAAGTTAAGAGAATATAACCTAGCACGAGAAGTGACGCAACACGTTAAACAGCGATGTGTAAATTTGACAAGCCCAAGAACAGTGGGCCTGCCAATAACTTTAATGAGGACACGGAAAAGAAAATACCTGATTTGGAACGATATAAAAATTATGAAATTTCTCAAAAAAGAACCGTATTTATTAAACTATAAAACTTCTTATTCCCAAGCTGCATTCCAAACAATCAATATGTGAAACAAATGTAAAAAATGGTGCCTTATGAAGACATTACTCTTTAAAACTTGTACGAGGAACCTATCGTACTATTATACCTGCGAAGGACAGGCCATAGTGAGTTGGTATTTCAACGTATAGTATAAAATCTATTATTATATGAAATATATATTATAATACCTATATCATATATAAAGATGTCATTATATAGAATGATTGGTTGAGTTCACCATCTCGACATTTTGTCGGTTTTAATAAATACCCCGTCCTGTAACCCACAAGAAAAGAGGTATCTATGTCCCCAATATGTCGTCTATTATTATGTAGTTTAGTTTGATGTATTATACCTATATATATAATAAACCGTAACATATATATTATTATGAATAATAAGAGGAGCACCTAACTAGTGTGCATCTGTAGTATATTGTGGGGGAGTTGCTACTCTTCTCCTTCCTCGCCCTCTTCCTCTTATCCGTTGTGTGTTTGATGGCTGTGGTGTGTCCGGTGTATGAGATGTGTTGGGCGTGATTGATAGATGTAGTGTATTTGGTGATTGTGTTGGTTGCGTGATTTGTATGTGTTGGTCTCGAGTGTTGTGTAAGAAAACAGTATCTCCCAAAACTTTACTGAGTATGATTGATGTGTGTATGGCTGCATGTTTTTGAAGGATGCTGATGTCAATTCTGCTATCTAATTTATCTATGTACTTTTTAATACTTTTAGCGACTATTCCTGTTGCGCCTATTACTATCGGGATGACAGTCGTTTGTGTATTCCACAGACGACTGACTTCAGAGTAAAGAATATTTATTATTTTTCTTACTTTTAAGTGGTTTTGTTTTTATGAAGTCGGTTTTTATTTTTGTTAAAAATTTTTTGAAGTTAAGGCATACGTTTTTTTTCTTTTATTTTTGGCTATAGTGGAAATATTTTCCTTATTTTTAGGCCTTAAATCGTGGTGCTGCTACAGTGTCAAATCCGTCAGAATTAACCCAGATTCAGTAATCCTTATATGCTGTTGCTGTAAATGAACCTACATCTGTGGTTACTGTTAACAATGAAACTCCTTCTGTTCCCGTAGTAGCTATTGACCCTTCAGATTTGGAGAAAATTACAAGCAACCAAGTTGAGATCTACAAAAATCAGGAAGCAATTTTGAATGATCTGGCATTACTAAAAGAGAATTATAAAAAAGTATTGGAAAACTAGCAAAACATATTGATGGCCATTGCTAATATCTCGATGAAATTTGATACTTTTATAACTTCAAAATATAAACCACAAGTTATTAAATTAAATGATGTTATAAAGAAAACACCTGATAATAACCGATTATGTTTACAATCTATACGAAATATCGAAGAACTATCCAATTTAGAGGCAATATTAAACGACGGAAAGATGAAAGAGGACTATAAAGTATTGTGTGCCAACCAGGAAAACCTGAAAACTGCGCATATCAACTAGTTGATGTTTTTTTCGCAGCCGAACGCGCTAACCACCTACGCCATCGAACGCCTCCAATGCACAGATAAATGTACACTTAAATTTAAAAAATATAATTAACTTACTGATTACTTGATAATGTGTTATAGTGTGAGTTTGCTTTCCACTACTGAATATAGACTGTAAATACCTACCGTCATTTAGCGTGGCAACGCGTCGCCACGCCAGAAATCGGTTTTACGTACGTCTATAGACGTTTCACATCAAAATTGGATGAATACATCTTACCGCAAAAATAATGTTATTTTTGTAAGGTATAAATTAAATATTAGAAGCCAAAAAGAAGGTGAAGGGTGGCTGATTTTGTGAAAGAGTTGTATAAGCTGGCGGAAAATTGTGATTATGGTGCACTGAAAGAAGAATTGATTTGTGATAGAATAATTGTTGGTATGGATGATCGGAGAACAAGTGAGAGATTGCTATTGATGACGTCGTTGTCGTTGGAAGACGCATATAAGCTGGCTTGTCAAGCGGAAGAACAGAAAAATGAGGCAAAGTCATATGGAACAAAGAGGGAAATAGTTGGAAGGTGAACAAAATAGATAAAGAAGAGAGTAGGCGAAAGAAGTGTTGGTGGTGTGGCAGAGATGAGATCCATGGGAAGCTACGGTGTCCTGCAGCTAGGGAGACATGTCGCAAGTGTAAGACGCGAAATTTTGCAAGGTGTTGTAAAGACAAGATAATCAACCATACGGAGGGAGAATATTAAGAATTTCTACTAGATGTTGAGGTAGTTGCTGAAAAATATAATTCTACGTTAAAGTTTCTTATTGATACTGGTGCTGGTATTGTTGCTATACCACATAAGTTAGTAGGAAAAAAATCTCAGAAGTTATTACGGGTCCAGATGGTATACATCTTTGGACATATCGTCTCTCGCATGACTGTCTTAACTGACATTTTTATCAAAACTGACTTAAATACATGAACTTATTTAAAATTAATTTTCAAACGTATCCCACTATTCGTCATTTCTCTATCTATCGCGGTTGTAAAAATAGAGCTACCTGCACTGTTGACGTATCTGCTTAGATGAAAAAATCAAATATGATTAATTTAAGTAAATGACATACGACGGTTAGTGAAATCCATTATAAATATATTTTTTTGTTTTTAGTGGCATATGATATTATACGACATTTAATGATATTTTTTTGAGGATATTTATTTCTAGTGCCGTCATTTAAGCGTTTGATTTTTATAAAATATTGAGTTTTGCTGAGTTGCGTTAGAGTCATAAATGACTTGGAAACGCGGGGGAGGCAGGGGGAGAGCGTCTTCCACTGCTCTGGAACCTGGGGTACAACTGGGTGCTGCGAGGCAGCCTCCTCCCCAATATGGAGGTTGCCTGCTTCGCCGACGACACATTGGTCGCGGCGAAGGCAAAGTCGGCAGAGGAGGCGGTTCGTTTGGCGTCGGTAGGCACTGCGCTAACCGTCCGACGCATCCGCCTCCTGGGCCTGGATGTGGCCCTCGATAAAACGAGGGCCATGCTGTTCCACAGCCTACGCCGCAGCACCCAACCGGGGCTCCATATCCGGGTGGAGGGGGTCCGTATACCGGTCAAGGGAAGCCTGAAGTACCTCGGCCTGGTGTTGGATCCCCGATGGAGTTTCGAGGAGCACTTTAAGCTCCTCGCTCCACGGCTGTGCGCCGCCGCAGCCGCACTCGGCAGGGTCCTCCCAAACGTGGGGGGACCAGGAGATGCGTGCCGTCGACTGTATCACGGGGTGATACGATCGATGGCACTTTATGGAGCCCCGGTTTGGGCAGAGTGCCTCAAACCCCGCACGATGGCCCTGCTGCGACGACCGCAGAGGACCATCGCGGCCCGGGTCGTGCGAGCTTACCGCACGGTCAGCCACGGCGCCGCCTGCGTACTCGCGGGTATGACGCCGTGGGATCTCGATGCCCAGGTTCTGGCAGACGTGCATCAAGGTCGGGTCGAAGCCAGGGAGCGGGGTGAAAGACCTGCCCCAGCAGAGCTGCGGCAGGTCCGTTCCATCGCGCAAGCAGAGGCCTTGCGGCGATGGGATGAGGCACTCGCCCATGTAAGCGCCGGCCACCGGACGATTGAGGCCATTCGTCCGGTGTTGGAAGAGTGGGTGGGTCGCCGGCGCGGCGGCCTCTCGTTCCGCATGGTGCAGGTACTGACTGGGCACGGATGTTTCGGTCACTACCTGTACCATGTCGCCCGTCGGGAGGAAACGCCGCAGTGTCATCACTGCGGCGCCTCGGACGATACGGCCGAGCACACCTTGCTGGAGTGCTCGGCCTGGCGGCAGCAGCGCCGCGACCTGATTGCGGCGCTGGGAGGCGGAACCCTCTCGCTGCGGAGCATGGTAGAGGCCATGCTCCGTAGCGAGTCGGCATGGGAGGCAGCTGCCTCCTTCTGCGAGAACGTTATCTCGCAGAAGGAGGCAGCCGAGAGGGAGCGGGAGGATGATTCGCTGGCCGCTCCCTCCCGCCGAAGAAGAGCGTGCAGAAGAGGACGAGTGCGTGCCCTGGCTACGCCCGTCCCATGACCCTGCCCGCGGGGATCCCTAGCTGGCCGGTACGGCGCATTGTGCCGTGCCGGCCACCGAGGGATCCCCTGACGGCAGCCCCCATCTTGTAGTTCTGTCCTGCAAAGAGGGGGGCGGCGGAGGGAGCTACACGGGCACGCCCAAGTAGTCCTCCGCAGCGGACGGGGGGCGGTACGGTGGGCACTAGGCCGCGTATTTTGCCCCCACGCGCGGGCCATCCTGCGCACGTCTGCGGGGTCCCCGCAAGACCTCCGGAGACCCCTGCCGTGGAGCCCCGGCTAGGCCGGGAGGATGCTGGGTGCGGAGACGCGGAAGAATCCCTAAACGGGGATCCCGCGGTTTCGCACTAAGCAGCTTAGAGGGTATTCGCAGGACTTTTTTAGCGGATATTATAACGTAAAGCGCCCGTAAGAGTTGCGGGGTCCTCGGTGGGCAGCCACTGTGGGGTTCGTAAGACTTGCGGGAGCCAGGTGTTAAGTCCGTTCGGCGGTGTGCCTCTTAAAGGCGCCGTCGTCTGTAAATAGATTTTTTTACCTGCATATTAAAAAAAAAAAAAAAAAATGGGAGAGCGTCTGACTTGCCAGTCGCCCACCGTGCCTTAGTTTAGCGCGAACGACGATGGGTATGGTAGTGTGTTTGTGTCGCTGCACCCGACCGAAAACGTGTTTGAACTTGTTACCGTGGGTATGTTATACCTTTATTTGCTTCTATTTTATTGATTCGTAGTAATTATCGCCTGCTTTGTTTTTTAACAGATCTTTTTTTTTTTAAATGGACGTCATTGTAAAGAGGAATGATGGAACAAGGAACTCTGTTTCTACAAAGTTCCTTGTTCAAGGAGATAACGTTACTCGTATTGGTGCCTCGTAAAGATGTTTTATAAGAATAAGTGATACTACGGAACCGTTGTTATGACAGAAGAAGTTAATCAGATTTCGTTGGAGAACAGCAAAAGGGATGATTTTAGTTCTTCAGATGATGAGCCTTTAGTTAACGTATTGAAACGGTATGCCATTCAGTTAGATAAAGAAGATCCATTTTGCAATATTGATTTTGAAGAACCCAATGATCCTAACTTAGTTCTGCCATCAAGCCCACGACGCAGATCAGTCTCAGGTGATGCAACTGTCTGATTGGATAATAATATTATTATCTATATATATAAAAATGAAACCCGTTATCCGTTGTCACGACATAACATGAAAACGGCTTGACCGATTTGGCTGATTTTTTTTGTAGTTTTCTAATACTCTGTACAAGGTTCTTACGGAAAAAAATATAAAGAAAATCTCTCAGAAAGATTGAAAAATATAACGTAACGAATGTCAACGTCATTCAATTTAAAACAAAAAATCTGTGGTAATCTGTGACACCACATCGATAACCGCACTGACCAATGTCAACGTCATTCAATTTAAAACAAAAAAATCTGTGGTAATCTGTGACAACACATCCATAACCGCGCTAACAATAATTTTATTAAGTTTTTGATAAAGTTCGTTTTGTTTTTAAGACTAAGAAGTTTTTTGTTTGCTAATAAGTGTTTGTTAATCACGGTAAGTTCACTTCACTTCATATCGATTTTTGGTAACTTTTGGTGACTACACAATATTACAATTTTACATGGTTATACAGAAAATATATTTTCACTTGGATTTTCGTTTTTAACAATGCCACCAACCAGACGTACAAACTTAGGCCGCAGCACTCGAAATACGGCAAGTCAAAGAAATATAAGAGCAAATCAAACTGATGAGCAACGCGAAGCGCGAAATGAACTTCAACGGAATCGAAATCAACATAGAAATGTTGTGTTTAATCCCCACAGAGCTGCATTCAGTTATAATGTTGCAATTGATTACAGTTCAGAGAAAATTGTTGCTATTGGACTAATGAATATTGCGTGTCCACATTGCAATGCATTGAAATTCAAAAATG